TCTTGAATTTTATTTTTGTTTTCAGTCATCCGAACTTCTTTCGTGTTTACTGACATGTTTCTTGAATTTTATTTTTGTTTTCAGTCATCCTTTTGTATGATCAATTTTTGTTGCTTATAGGCTTCTGGTTAGCGTTAATTAACGTGAAGGAATCTTCTCTTTCTTTCTAAACGTCATCATATGTTTTCTATATAGATAAAATCAAATTTGTATATAATTCTTTTTTACCCAAAGTCTCTTGTAAATTTTTGGGGTTTCTACGCTTTAATGTTTAGCAATGGCGCAATGGGCAACTTCGCCAGTTGTACTAAATTAGAGGCTGGATCATCGAATCAGCAGCAGCAACAAGTATTTAAGTTCCCATTTCTATCTTTAGTCCTCTCCTCCAGGTTTTGGGTACTGCTCATGGCATGGTAGTGTTGATAATTTAGAGAAAAGAAGAAGGCTAATTCTTATATGACTATAGTAGAAGAGGAGTAAATTAGTAATGGTAATAATTCGACAGAAATTTTGTGAGTTCAGAAATCTGCTGCGAAGAGAACATGGTTTAAGTGAAAATTGAGAAAAACGTGATTTTCTAGGAGATGAAGTGAGATGCTGAAACTGGGCGAGTTATATACCTCAAACTGATAGGGAATATTAGGAACCCCTATAGGTAAATAGAAGTTGGGTTGGTTGGTCAACTCAGCTTCACAATAAGTGTGAGTGTGTGAACTGTGTTTGGTCTGCTACTCAGTGTTCACATAACTAGATAGTTACCAAATAAAGAACAAGATGGAGGGAGGGTTACCTGCGGAAGAAATTGTAGGAATGATTTGAGGCATGGGCACATATATCTTTCAACATCGAATCCGAACCTGTAGTTGAAAGGGGAGAGCTCCAATGGAAACTAGTGTAATGTAGTTAAGCAAGAGATGCTATTAGTCTCTTCGTAAAAGAGCAGACAAGTGTAACTGGCATATGGAAAAGAAACACAAGGAGTGTCTCGACAGGGGTTGGTTGGCGAGCTGTGCAGGTGTCTTTTTTTATTTATAAAAAACATGCTGGTGTAGGAGGAAGAGCTTGAACTTAAAACACTTCCTTTTGTACTCCACTTCTTTTTTATAGTGCTCTTAAAAGCATTAAACGGATCTTGGTGGGTGAGTGGCCTTCTAAGTTCTAATGCTTGATTCCCTAAGTGGAGATTAAACAAACACTTAAGCAAAACAAAAACCGGGTTTAATTAAATATGTTGAATATAATTATTTTAGATTATGTAGCGTATGAGATTAACATGTTAATACAAACAATTTTCTAAGTGACTAATTTAATTGTTTCATTGAGAAAAGACTGGAAAGGTACTCCCAAGTTGAGGAGTCAATTAGTCATTGGTTAACTTTCACAAATGTTTAATTCAACAATTAGTTGCTAATTAAAGCTGTTGGAGATGTTTAAATAACCAATCGAAGTGGTGGGTGAACGCTTAATGCCTACACAACCGTTTAGGTGGTCCTAAGTGGGGATTCTAAGAACGCTGCTTTCTTCCATATACACGTCAATTCCCCTATAGTTTGTAGAGCAATGTCTAACATCATGAAGTGAGGTTAGTCATCATGTGACATGTCTCTCTGTTCCACCTGTGTTCTTTAATGTGGGGGTTCCAATCAGAAAAGGTATTTTTGGATGGTCCCTATACTTAACTCCTGATTCCAGTACTGTTTGTTCATGTCCATTTGACAAAGGAGATCACACTCATGGAAAAGAATGAAGAATCAGATAGCCCAGGTTGGGGTGCTTCATATTTCATGCAGACTACTGAAGATGTTGCGAGAGCTGTCCTGGCTGCGGCAACAGCAGCTAGCTCTGCTCCTTCACGACCGTCGGTTGTATACTCATCAAAAGAGGACAGTGGAAGCCATCTTCAAAAGCTTCAAAATCAAGTTTTCAAAGTACTGAAAGGCTTATCCTATCCTACTGAAGAGAAAAGAACCTACAACCCAGAAGTATTAACCAGCCAAAAGCGTCAATGGGCAAGTTTCCAATTGCAGGCCCTGGTATGTTCTTTCTCTCGTGTGGTCACTCTGGTGTTAGTTAGCAAATTGTTCATATTTATAAGTCATGGTAGTCTGTTCTTTGTTTAGAGAACTCTTATTTCTTTCTATGTTTATGTGCATTAACTTTATCCACAACTATATGATAAAGAGCTGCTATTGTTGGCAGGAGCTTGCTTTAGTATGCAAACTCTTAATATAACGTCAACGGCTTGTTATGGTGTTATTTTTGTTTTTTCCTCATGTTACCTTCTTTACCAGTGTTGTTTGTTCTTGTATTTGGGCTATGACCGATAATCCGTTTACAGTTGGGATTAAGAGTTTCTCGCTTGCCAAATTTTCATCATTTCGGTTGTATTCTGCTGTGTTGCAGATGGGACTGTTGTCCTTCTATCATGATTGTTTATAATTTCAAAAAGTTTCAGCATCGCAGGATACTGAAAGAACCATCAAGGCTCTTTGAGAGTATGGTAGTGGTTGGACTTCATCCTAACTGTGATATTCAATCACTCGAGGAGCAGTATTTCGGCAGAAGATCAGAAGGTTCAGGAAGGTTGCAAAGTCCAATCAATGTTCAGCGTCAGTCAGCGTCCACAGTAGAAAATATTGAGCCTCAGGTACTGTCCACCCACACAAAAAGTGTGATATTGATAATATTCAGGAACCTGTTAAATTTGTCTCATTCTTCTGGAATATGCCATTTGATTATTCCTCCTTTCCTTTCAGGTTCTGTTTGTATACCCTCCGGATAAACAGCTACCTTTGAAGTACAGGGATCTCCTTTCATTCTGCTTTCCTGGTGGACTGGAGGTTGGGCAATATACTTTATTATTTACCTGAAATGGTTGTGCTATCCGCAGTCTATTCCAGAGATTTTTAGCATAAGTTGTAAACTGAAGCATTCAACAATATGCTATATCTACAAATAGCATCTTGAATGAAGATGGGCTGATCATGTATTTTGGTAGAACTGCTAACATGCCTTTATTTGAATGTTGATGGTGGCACATAAATTGCTGTGTCTAGTTATTCACAGTACCCATGCTTGTTATGTTCTTCAAAATAGTGTAACTTGTCTTATTCATTATGCATATCACACGTTGCCATGTAGGCTTTATGATTTTGTTGGTGCTTTTTGTCCGAGTGCTTCAATCATTTGATTTAATCTGTCATAACTCAAGAACCTGAATGTTTGTATTGCTTCAGTTGTCTACTTTGAGAGACTCCTTCGTTTTTTTCCTGTGTTTTTGTTCATATCTGTCGTATAAAAAAGGGTCTTAAATGGCGCTACTTATAATTGCAGGTAAATGCAGTTGAAAGAACTCCATCTATGAGCGAACTGAATGAAATACTTCTTGGACAGGTACATGTAAAACCAAGTCCCATTACCATATTAGCTGGCTATTTTCCATCCAGAATCAAATGAAAGCTTGTGATTATGAGTTCTGTGTTCCTCCGACAGAAATGAACTCTCTTTTTTTAAGTGATAGACTTATGTTCATTTTTCTTTACATGCAAACCTCTTCTACATAAAAGACATACATTGACCTGTCATCCTAGATACTTTGAGCCTTTGCATTTGTTTTGTTGAAATGTCATTTGTTAACATGCTGGTAGTTTTGCAGGATCACCTTAAACAAAGTGACCTCTCCTTTGTCTTCAGGCTACAGGTAATTGACGAGTCCCCTGCAACTAATTGCTAGGAAATATTTTTGTTAGTTTTCAGAGGCTTTTTTCTATGTAGCTTGGTTTTTGTTAACTTTCTACTCAGTCTATTTTGAAACTTTATCAATACATCAATTATGAAAAATTGGATGCACAGCTTGCAGACCTTTCATCAGTTATTTGCTGATATATAAATTGATTCTTAACCACTCCATTAAAAAGAATTATCCAAACAAATGATAAGTTGCTGCCGAAAATTTCTGTTCTCCATGCAAGTGAATCATGAACAAAACGTGGTAGAATTCATTCTTGAGGTAGTACCGTACTATTTCATTTCATAAATTTTCTGATGGTCATATGAGACAAAATAAATTGAGTTTTAGTTTCTTTTCCGAATATCATGAAAAACTCCCAATTATGCTAGATTGGAGCTGTAAGATTGGGAGTGATCATATCAATACTGTATACACCATATTGTATTAACCGGGCTACTCCTAGTATGTACCTTTCTCTATTATATTAAGCATGTCAATATTTGACCTCGACTTCTCCCGTTGCTATAGTATAATAAGAGATAGGCGCCTAGGAAAAGCTGATATGCTGCCTTGATCTTTCTTTGTCTCGAACCCCATACCCCTATAATAATGGCAGTTCTTAAACAGAAGAATGGYGATAAAGAGGAAATGATTCAAATTCAAGAAATCTTGCAGTTGCAGCTGGTATTTGATGTATCATGAGAAGTGTTTGGTATTCATTGTTTGTGGTGGACTTGATGCCAAGTGGTGAGGCCCTAATTTTGAACGACTTCCCACTTCCCACTTCCCACTTCCCACTTCCCACTTCCCACTTCCCACTTCTAGAAGCAATTTGTTTTAAGCCACTTACAACTTCCCTTTGACCCAACAACAGAAGAACATTTTGCCAAGTGAAAAACATGAAAAATTAAGAAGCCAGCGAAAAAGCTGCAATCTGTGGTGAGATGAGTTGGTCTTACCTGATATTTTTTATTTTTATATATCTATATGTTACTCCACTTATCCACATCCCCCCCCCCCTTCCCAAGAAAAGGGTTCCATTTCGCTCATATTTGAGAATTATCAGCTGTCAACCATTTCATAGTTTCTTGGTATTTTATGTCGTGCTTTTATCTAGTACTACAACTATAACTTCTTTCTTATGTCACTACATTTTATTGGGTTCTGAATTTTAACACCACGTAGGGTGCAGATGATTCAATTCTATATGGTTGCTGTTTAGTAGCTGATGAATTGGTGCAAAAACCGTCTAGATTAATTTCCATGATGTCAGATGGACAACCTGTTCGCCCAGCTTTGAGTCGCCACATTTTAACAACTCGCCGATGTTACTGCATTCTTTCAAGGCTTCCATTATTTGATCTGCATTTTGGCGTGTTGAATAGGTTTGTCATATTTGAGCTGATCAAAATCATTTTTTGTCTATTTTCTTTGCATGTGGTTACATTTGATGAGATAAAAGTATCATGTACATTGTTTCTAGATTCTAACGTAGGTCCTTCTTTTAATTCCATGAAGAAACACTATTGTATATCGTCATTCCTCCATCCAAGGAGTGTATATGTCTGCAAGCATCACAAAATCATATGTTGAAACTCTTTCAGTTCATTTTGGGCCTGTACATCTGTACATGAAAGTTTCATCACCACTCAGGTTATAGTAGTTGTATCTAAGCACTTGCAATGTATCTAGCGGGATACTAGCTTTTTGTAGAGACAGCTCCATGAGATGGGAATAAGTAGGATTTTCTTTTACTTGTACAAAGTTGTAGGGATAAGAACGCATCTAAATACTGCATTTCAATAAAGTTGCTGCACAAAAGGGTTTCAAGTTTCGAACAGGTCAAAGATGAATGCCATAATATATGTATCCCTTAATCCTTATAGACAAGTAGTTTTTCATCTTTCTTGAAGGAACTTGTGTGTTTGTGTTTGCATATTAGCTTTACCAGTGTGAAAAAAGCACGAGGGTAGTTCTTTTTGTTGTTTCAGTGGCAGATTGGCAGACTCTTCTTTTATATAGTACACCTTGCTTATTTAGAGGTGGAATACGTGCTACCTGGTTTAAGCCAGCAGCAATAAGCATGTTAATGCTGTATATATCTGCTCTTCTTTGCTTCTTATATGATAGTCACTGCATAAAAAATGACGGAATAGACATTTGAATTGTATTGAGTCCTAAATTCGTTCTATTGCCAGACAAAACTTGTTAAACAGAAATTTTCATGTTAATATGAATAATATGCAGTTATTTTTTTCTTGCAAAAGAAACCAGCCACATCAACTTCTTAATTTATTCCCCCATTTGCTTCAAAAGAAGGGCATATATGCATTTCTGATGACCGAGTAACTTCACTAATTCTTTTTCATTTACTCCACATTTGAATGATGTTCTAGAATTCACTGATTCAACTTGTGTCTTCTCAAACGATGTAAGAAATTCACTACTTTCATAAGAAAGTCATGGAGTGCATAAGCCCCTTTAGAGATAGGGGGTACTTTCTTGTGGTAGTCATTGCGAATGAGCAAGTTTGATCCTGGCTCAGAAGGAACGTGTTAATTCTTATTTGAAGAACTGAAGAAAGTTTCTGCAGTGACCTCTTTATTTCTATAGATCATTAATATTACCCTTCTGTAACTTTTTGTAGCATCTTCACTGAAGAAAGGTTGGAACGGTTAACACAAAGTATCGGTGACTTAGATCTTGAGTGTAAATTACTGCATGACAACGAAGTATATTTAGAAGACAAAACTAATGGTATTTCAGCTGAACTTGGAGCTCAAGGAATGCAGCATCGAACCACAGAGACTGTCCAATTAAGTGGGCGCAATTCTACCACTGAAACTGCTACAGGTGATCGCAGAGCTGATGAGGAGTATCAATCCCTTATGGTAGACTCTCTATCGTCAGACAAAGGCGCCAGTGATGTACCTGCAGACCCTTCAATAATAACGGATTCTTCTAAGCAAGAATCCATAGCTGCTGAACCAATCTCTAATTATTGTGATAGTCCTGTTTATGACATGGTTGGCAACAATCAACCAACTCAAAGGCATATACCAAATGCAATATTGCCTCTTCTACGATATCAACAGTATGATAGCTCAGAATCTTCCTCAAGGTATTCTATAATCTATTGATATTTATGGAGTTAGAAATTCATTCTTGGAGGCAAACTAGCAGGATATAAGTGTAATATTCATTTGCTCTTCATCATGGTTTGATGTCATGGTCTCTTCTTGTTTGCCCACTTTTCCATTGCATACCTTCTTATAATCATATCTGTCTGTTCTTCACTGCTCTTATGGTCATACCTTTTCATCTTTGATTTCTGTATTGACATAGATCGATGGTAGTCTCTCTGCAGGCTAAAGTTGTCTCCCTAACGGTTGAGAGATAGCAGGTTCTGTTCTGCTAAGATCTAGAATGTAAAATTGTCATTGGCAAGGTCAACCACTTCAAAGCCCTCAAACAGGACATATTACTTGCCTCCTGCCATTTAAGGATTTAAGGAAGCTTGCCATATGTGCCTGCAACCCTAGCTTACATGGTTAGGCTGTCCCTGTAGTTCAGTGCTGATGTTGAGGTCATATTGTAGCAATATAACTTTTGCATGGCCCTCTCAGGAATAATGTGTCTATCAAGTGAGATTGGGTGCACAATAAATTCATGTTCTATGTTAAATAAAGTGTTTTGTGGGAAATAGTATTGCATGCCGTTAATCCCAAATGGATCTTAGATTTCTTATAAAGACTGGAGATATATATATTTGTGTATCGGACCATTATAGATCCAATGCAAATAAATCCACACCATGTGAAATCATGATGCATTCTATTTGTCAGCATGAAGTGTGTCAGGATTACATTATGTGAAGTTGCATGACGGTAAAGGTGCTGAAGGTTGTTTTCCATTTTATATTTGCGCTGTTGGTATTACTATAGAAAGACTGGTTTAGTATTACAAAGACTGGTTTCAACAAAACATTGACTTGGTGGTGGAATTGCTTGATGCAGTTTTCAGGGCTCACCTTGTGATGATAGAAACTTTCGGAGTGAGCTTGATTTGGCAGAAATGGAGGTGACATCTTTCTCTAGCCAAGAAGATAACGAACATGACGAGATTCTTGATTGGGCCAAGGTACTTCTTTCTTTTGATCTTGTTCGTTAACTTTCTTATTGACCTCTCAAACTGTTTCTCTTTCTCTCTGTTCCCAAATTATAAAAATCTATGCAGGCGAACGATCATGGTTCCTTGCAGATAATATGTGAGTATTACCGATTACGTCTCCCTGCAAGAGGCTCAACAGTCAGGTTCCACCCTCTGGAGCACCTTCATCCTTTGGAATTTCATAGACCCGATGAAACACTTTTACATATTGCTGGTTCGGCAATTGATTTCATGTCATGCAGCACTAGTTTTGAATTAGCAGAGGTAGGCTTTATGTTGCTTTATGAGATCGACTATGTCTGTATTCTTACATGGTTATTGGTTAATCATTAATTTTATCTTCTATTGGATTTGCTGCTGGTTTATAATAGCAAGATTTTGTTGCTGTAGGCTCACAATGCACTTGCAGTGGAGGAGGAGGCAACTGCTTTGTCAGTATGGGCAATTGCATGCTTGTGCGGCTCCTTGCGTCTCGAGCATGTATAAATATCGCATTCAAAAATATTATTTTGTTACTGTTTTCTATCTGCTTCATGCTGTGCTGCTATACTTTCCACCAACCCTTTTTTGTTTTAATTTGTGTGCCCTTGGATAACCTACTCAATGTTTATTTCAGTTCATTTATGTCTTTGGAGAGAGTGCAATGATGCTGTTAATATATGTCCTGCAATTGAAATTTAAATTGATAGTTGGGTTAAAAATTAAGCTGTCATATTTTAATGGTTGTATAACGTAATGGTGATACATATATGCTAACCTGAAATTTATTTTTAATCCTTGTTTGTTTACCACTTGAATTTGGCTAATACGCTTTCTTTTTATGAATTTTGAGGGATAAGTAAAATTCACTTGACACTACTTATGTATCAAAAGGCTTGGTGAGAGAATATGTGGCTTTAATGTTATACATCAAGATTTTGTGCTACTAAAAGGGTGGTTGATAGTAGTCTTAGCTTACAGCTGCCCATTTTCATATGCTCTCCAGTCTTTGATGCGGAAAGCTCTTTTGTTGTGAAGTGGATTTGGTGCATGCCTATTATTCTCTGTAGGTTTTTAAGTGTTTAATAGACAGAAATCCCTTGGTGTTTTACTTTACAGGTCTTAACGATATTTGCGGGTGCTCTGCTGGAGAAGCAAATTGTGTTTGTATGCTCTAATCTGGTATGTAGAACACCACCAAATGCAAGTTATTTTCTTTTTGAGGTTGATTATTGGTCTATGTCTCATCACTTGTTCTAATATCTGGGAGTGACCCTTTTTCAAGCTCACCAATTTTGGTCGAGTTCTAGAGATGCACAAAGCCACAAACCCTACCTAAGTTTAATATATATGAACAGTATGTTGGAATATCTAGGGTACTGTTGTGTTCTGGTGGATTTTTTTGTTATTTAAAGTTCTCCTATGTGTAATGTTGAGATTCTATCGTTGGGGATATTGCGATGTATATTAGAGTGCGCACTAGAGTTCTAGCTTTTCTTACTCTTGAATCTGTTGCATCTATAGGGAATATTGTCTGCTTCAGTGTTGGCAATTATCCCACTGATTCGTCCCTACCACTGGCAGAGCTTCTTAATGCCGGTACTGGCTCTATCATCTGTTCTTCAGTTTATAATGCAAATTTGCTATGGTTTATAGAAGTATCAACTGCATTTAAGTTTAATTCTGTAAAAGTGTATGCATGTTACTTCCAGGTGTTGCCAAATGATATGCTGGACTTCTTGGATGCACCTGTTCCATTTGTCGTAAGTTCTCAAATAAGTTTTTTCCTGATCTTTTTTAGTTGTAAAAAGAATAGAAGTGTTTTATGCCGTGGCCTAGGATGCATCAGGGGCTTAACTGGTTGTTTATTTGTCGTTTCTCAAGCTCCTTCTATCGGTTTTTGCAGCGTTGGGGGGATATGATGTTATTATCCCTTATAAGGTTTGGAGGGAGCATTTCACTAAACCATAATGATAGTTGTAGTGTAGTGCTACGTAATTTCAGAAGGAATACATATTTTGTTGCTTGTGCTTAAGTTGTACACTGCACTTGCAAGCTTGACTGATGAGACCAAATGAGCTGAATGCATAAAGCTAGAGTTAAAGAGAAACATTGGAGTCTGAGGATTTTAGATTAAGCTGTACTATAAACGAAACATGAAGTGCGACTTTAATGTTGTTGATATGGGGTTGAAAAATAGTTTGTGGCTTGAAGATACTCCTATTCCAAAAGGAGTCCATTTTTTCGTGGTGAAAATCCAGCAAACATTTTAAGTTTTAAAATGTGTTAATTTTGGTAGTTTATGTAGTTATCAGTTCTTTTCTTTGGTATGACAATATAATGATAATTTGTCTATAGGAATTCAAAATGAAAAAATCAAAGACATTAGATCTTGGTTCTAATGGTTAATTGTTGATTCCGAAGGGCAGAGATTTATTACTTTTTGGGTGTAATGTTTCTTGTTTTGCTCCATATATGTAATTGTGACATGCCAAGATTTTTAGGGTCAAGTGTGTAATTTCACCTTACTTTGTAAACAGTGCTGCTAGGCCTTCTAAGGCTTGGGGAGGGCAGTTCTTATACTAAGCATTTCTCTAGCATTAGACTTTTTCATGAATCCAACATTAACCTTCCAGTCACTAAGGGTAAGGGTGCATTTGGTACAGCGGACATGACCGAACAGAACCGGGATAATTGTTCCACGTTTGGCATGATTTTATGTGGAATAGAGTGGAACAAGCGTATATTTTACCAATATACCCTCAAAATAAAACCTAATTTCCTTCTAAAATATTGCCTCCCTCTTTACATTTTATCCTTTCTTTAATTTTTTATAGTATTTTATCCTCTTTAAACTTTCACTTTACATTCCTCAAAATATTATTTTTATACATTTTCTCTTTTTTGATTAATTTATGTAATTTATTAAATATTAATAATAAAAACGTAATATAGAACAGGTATAAAATAAAAGTTGGAAGTTACATAAACTTCATATTTTTTTGATATAAAAAATATTTATTTTATTATAATATTTAATAAATTACATAAATTAATCAAAATATATAAAAGATATAAACAACTCATTAGGGGTAATTGGTCATTTTACCAGTCCTGTCTTACCGAACGCTGAACAATTGTTCTGTCTGGATACCTAAGGCTAACCTTACTAGTTGCTCCAAGTCTCTCTCCTGCAGTTGGTTTTGTGGTTCAGGCTTTTTTTTGCCATATGCTTATTATCATATTATTGGCTTCTTTGACCTATCAATATGTTGAACAGGTTGGTGTGAAACACAAAACTGCTGAAGTACAATCCAAGTCAGCAAATGTTATTTTCGTTGATGCCAACAAGAAGCAAGTAAGAGTCTGAAAATTGCATATGGACTCATCTTTTTGATTATATAGATATACCCACAATCATTGTTACTTGCTTTTACTACACCCTGCGTGCTCCGGTCAAGTATTCTATTTTTCAAGCAAAACGTAGTACAACCCACTGATATGTGCCTGAAGAAGGAAATGTTTTTCCTTTGCACATCGATGAATTTGAGTAACTCCAGGATTGGAGATTATGCCATGAAGTAAATATCTAGGGGTCTTTTTATGCCTAAGAGATGGTACAAACAAGGAGAAAGGATCATTATCTGATCTCTTGCAATATACTCGTTGCATATCCATCGATTTTACGAGATACATATATCTCTACAGACAGGAAGGCTGGAAGCTATGCTTGACATGTGCTTCTTTGGGATTTATAAGCGTCTGTGGCTTCAAACATCCCCATGCATCATAGTTATAAGCAAATTGAGTTTCTTTTAGCATCTCTCCAAGTTAATCCTGTGATATTGATGCAGGGCGGTATTCTTTCCTTTTGGTTGACCATAATGTTTATGAAGTCATTTTGCAAATTTCATGTTGTTCAGTGTTCTTAATGGCAATGATCAAGTAGTCTACTAGGATGCATCATATCTCTCTAATTTTCCTTTTGCCTTGGTTAGGTAAAATCATCGTCAATACCACATTTACCCCAGCACAAGGCATTATTTACTGCCTTAAGCCCATACCACGCCCAACTTGTGGGAGAAAGTTATTTAGGGAGAAGAAGACCGGTTTATGATTGCAGTGATGTACAGGTATATCTTTGCGTTTGATACCAACACAAAATCACCATGTTTATTAGTTCTCTCAAGCCTTAGTTTGTTTTGATAATGTGTTGCTGAAAATTTTATATTATTATTATTATTATTTCATTTACATTCGGTTGGGTGGGGGTAGTTACGAGCCTTGTTAATCACAGTTGGATTTCATAGGTTTATGACTGATTTAACGCTTGACAGCCACTCAAAGCTAAGTTGTCCCAATTAACTTTGTGTCTGCTTAATCTTTACTTAACAAAGCTACGCACAAGTTCCATGATAATTCTCGAGTTTATATATAAAAAACAAATGTTCACTAAAAAGGATCGGCATGGAAAATCGTGCTCAATCTTTTATTATTTCATAAATGGTTGAATGTGAGAAAATAGAAAATTATTGCATCCTTTGTTGCCCAAAAGTCAGCAATCTCTGATTTTTTGCTGTTCAGTTAATTCCCCAGAATGCACCACATAGAAGTAATTTTCTGTTGGTGCTGTTATTATGGTTTTGCAACTTCAATTTACCTTCTAGATATTGGGTGCTCTAAGTCTGTTCTCAGAAATAGAATAGATAGAGTTGCTATCTTATCATTTGAGTATTACAACATTCTTGGTGTCAGAAACAGTTATCACTGTCTTTTTGTACCCCTGCAAGCCTATATAAACACGGTTCTTTAGGTTACTTCTTTTTGTTTAGGAAATAAGTTTGAAAGAAATGATGTGCTCATGTGTTAGGTTCAAAACGAATGATGTGATTCTGTTCATGGCTCCACGCATATTAAAATCTCGCTTGATTGTTATTGGACACAGGTGGAAGCTGCAAAGGGATTCCTCAGGGTATTACGATCTTATTTGGATTCTCTTTGTTCCAACCTACGTTCTCACACGATTACAAATGTTCAGTCCAATGATGATAAGGTCTTTCTCAACCCGAATCTAAATATATGTCCATTTTAATTGTATAGCAAACTTGCAATGTAATGGGACCTTTATTACATCTTGCTGTTTCAGTGGCTTTCTGGAGTTTTTTTGGCTTGAGGAAAAATACATGTAGAAATATCAATAAAATATATTTTCTTGTTAGTAAACAGTCTCCATGTTGCATGCTCCCATTGCTCTCTCAGTATGTTTAAGTTTAATACATTTGAAAATTATAGTCAACTTTTGCAAAAGAAAGGTTTTAAAGATTCTTATTTATTGTAAAATGACCCTCCGGTTATAAGAGAAGGTAGTAATGCAATAAAAGATTGTCGTCATGTATAATGATATCATTCACCATGCAGTTTTCTCGTACATATCTTTTTAAGGAACACATGGCACATGATGTTCAGGAGCTCTCATGCATGTTAATGTGCAATACACGAGGTTTGAGCACTTCGTTTTTCCATTTATATAACACCTTCAATTGGACCCCAGGTATCTTTGCTTTTAAAGGAAAGTTTCATCGAGTCCTTTCCAAGTCGTGATCGACCTTTTATGAAGGTGCGTTGGTTCATTTTTCATATATGATTAGCGTCGTATTTTACTTTCTAATATGGTTTAGCGAGTAACCATGATGAACAGTTAAGATACAGGAATTTCTGTTTTGGTGTATGTGAACATGATAGAGGGAAAGGGGAACATCTTGTATGAATCTTGTTATTTTTATGGGAAATATGTAATGGTGAACAAGCCTGTATTGTTTTTGGTTCTCAAGGTCCAACCTATCTGCATCTTTCATATTCCCCTCAATCCTCCTTAGATAACCACACCATCTTGGTTACCTCAATTACCACTTGGGAGGTCCAATCTCATCATGCAGAAGGGTTAGCCTTAAACCATCACAGTCATGGGCTTAAGGACACCCCCAGCTAAATGACAGGGTACCTACTTTAATCTATTTAGGGGAAAATACTGTCCAATTGAAAGCTTGACCTCATAGGCAACACTGTGCTCACTGAATCTTCAATTTGACAGATCATTCTTTAGAGGTACTTGACCTACTTCTTGAGCACCTGGTTAGTGGTAAATAGTGGTACCACTCCTTCGCCTCTATGCTGATCCAAGCAGACGAACGACAACTGAATTAACGACAACCAACTTTTCGTTTAGACTGGGTATCTCTCGGGATTCTCCTTACAAGTGGTTTTAAGCAAAAGCACCCATCATTCCAGCATTCTTGACTCGCCTGTATCTATGCTAAAGCTAACCCCTTATCCGACTTCCCAACCTACCACCTAACCACCTTGACTTTATTGACTCTTCACAGCATTCCAAAAATGCCATTCCATAGTGTTATTATGAAAGTACCCCTCCATACTCCAACTGTTGTTTTTCTTCGTGAATATGCCATTTGACTTCTGGTGTAACAATACATGCCTGCTAGATCTTCACCTTGTCCTAGAGGTGAACAGATGGAAATTGATTCTTCAATAGCTCGTAAGCTTCCCATGATGCTTTGAATAGAGGTAACCCTTTCCACTTCTTGTCGGGTTCCACGATGCTTTCCATCCTTTCATTCAATTGAGGCGATAATTTGGCAAAATGATCCGCACCTCAAATTAGACAATGAATCACCCGATGAGTCTTCGTCGGCGGAGGAAGCAGTAGTTTGTATGCCACATTTTCAATCTTCTCTTCAACCTTGTAGTCCATAGAATCTGGCTGTCAATTTTTATTGTTCCGTGCTAACAGAGATTGCAACCTATAAGGACGCAACTTTAGAAATTGTGTCCAATTGAGAAAAAACATCTAGTACTTCAAATAATTCTTTCCGCTTTGTAATTTGTTGTGTTAATGTTAAACTAGATGCTGAAGGTGGCCACACCTCTGTTATTTATTTCTTTATTAAACCAACAGCTTATCAATTTACTAACATTTTTTATCCTATTCTTCTGTCTAGCAGCTTTTCGTCGAGACACAACTCTTCTCTGTACATACAGATCTGGTCTTATCCTTTTTCCAGAAGGATTAGTACAACCATGCAAATTTAGCATTGCAATGTATAATTGGGCACCTAAATACGAGCTCTGAAGCTTATTGTTGTCACCAAGTTCAAACATTTATAGACATTTTGTTTCTTGTTCTTGCAACGTACACATTTTTCCCCCCTTCTTGCCCCTTCTCAAGCTACACAGTTGATTAAATTAAAGGTAAGGCCTGAGGGAAAGGCCAATCAAGCGGGTTTCTTTCTTAATGATCAATATCTCTAGTTTGATCTTATAGACATGCTGACATGGTTCTAGACATCATGAAGAAATAATGAGCCAGTTTTATACACCAAATATGAGAAGTCAAGTCTATCTTTACTATCATTCTCTATATTCTTTTAATTTGTACTATTTGAAGTTCACTATGTGGTGTAACTTAATGTTTATAAATATATCTAAGAACCTCATATATATCCTCATTTAAGTGCTTCATATTGCATTTATTTTTGGACCTGGGGATGGGGTGAAAGCAAGCAAAGCAATGCTGGATGGAAAGGCATTTTCAGCATGATGAGGATTTAATTTCTGTTACAACTGAAGATGTGGAATTTGGTTAGTCCCCTAACAATGATATTATCTTCATAACCAAAGTTTCTCTTTGCAGCTTATAAGTTATTTGCTTAAGCCGATATCAGAAGCTGGAGGATTTATTCTCTCCTTTGTGGTTTCTTTTCAGGTACATGTACTATTGTGACAGTTTTTATGCTAGTTGTCTTGTTAATGACGACACTGCCCTTCTGCCACTTTCCTCCAAAAGGACAAGATGCCATTGATGCTACCCGAGAGAGTAAGGAACCTTGTTAGTGGTCAGTAGGCCAGATGAACAGGGCCATCTCAGAATCTGTGATAGTATGAGCTAATCTTGGTATTTCATTTGTTTCATATTTAGTAACTGCATTTTGGATGATAAATGCTGGATGTCATGAATGTGAATTTCCCATATTAACCCCGAGATAGTTGAATGGTTACACGTGTCTAACTTCCTATTGAATCTGTGGTTATGTTGCAGGAATATGTTTGTTGTATCAGTACCAAATTCCACGCTCATAAGTGTATTGGTAGTTATATGGCATAAGCATACCATCAATATATGATTGTATTTTTGAAACATTGAGTTATGATTTCGTTAATAAAGACATTGGCGGTTGTACTATACAAACATGCCGTTGCATTCATAAAGATTTTCTTGCTTCAAATAATTTGTGATATGTGTAGCATTATTTTCCTAAAATCATCTATCAGAGCTCTATCTTGCTAAATATGAGGCTCTTTCTACAGTGAAGGTATTTGGATCTTGTTTAAAAATCTTCATATCTGGTGGGGCCCAAAGCACTAATGCTAATTGAATTCAGTTTCAGAGCATAGTGACACTGATTCAACCATTCCTGAAAGCCTTCTGTTATATCAGTGAGTTCTCGTGTCCCCAATGCTCTTTTAGATGATTTTTTTAATTATTACTAACATGGGGTATGCCTTCACAATTCTTTAAAAAGTTATCCACAAAGATAAATTCATATTGTTTTTTAATCTTTTATTTAAAAGGGTCATGCTGGTGCATCAAGGATAGGATCTTCAGTTGCATATTGCAAATTTCAAGATTCTATCAGGTAATCATCTGTTCACAAACCACTAATCTTTCTAGTTGCTTCAAAGCTTGCCTCTTATACTTGTTTTAATTATTTTTATGGATTAAACCCACACCTGATAACTGAGATAGAGGGTGGTACTATGTTAGCTTTAAAGTGGAGTATGCTTGGTTGGGTATGTCAGTTATGCAGAAATGGAAACTGGACAGTGGGGCCACTGAGTGAGGTTAAAAAATGTACCTAGAGATTTGGAGGTAAGAAAATTTGGGACTTTAATGAGAGACCTCCAAATGAGTAGGGCAGTTGTCAGTAGAGTCATGAATGTGAATTTACTTTTGGATGTGTGCTGAAAGAAATAATTGAGGCTTTTTGTGCCCTGCTACCTAATGCTTTGGGAAGCTTTAGAAAGAGGCAATTTATTAAATGAAAGCACCTCAGAGACGTGGTGAGATACACATTTACCAAACCCAATATATCACCCTAATATAAGGTCTGGGATGAGATGTACACAGACATGACCTTCAGTGGTGAAAACTAGATACACATACGCAAAAGACAATAATAATTCACACATATGGGTGTTCATCCAACACCACTATGTATATCTGGAGTTTTTGTTTCACTTTTTTAAAGTGTATATAATAGTTATATGCGGAAAATACTCACATATTCCTCGCCTTTGGTGAGTTTAAACCCTCTACCTCCTGTGAAAATGGGATCTACCAGTAACCCGGATACTGTAGTTTTATGTTTTTTTTGGGTACGGGTTATTGATATTTGCGTGTTTATCGCTCATCCTTTCGTTTACATTCAAAAAGATCATACCCTTCATAGAGTAGCCAGATCCATATTTGATAGCCAAATGAGATTTATATGCATTTTGTGGTCCTATCAGCCATTTAAAATGGTAAGAGAGCTTCAGTTTCTTTTAGGTATGGTCTTAACTGCATAATGTACAAGTCAATATAGCATTATTAGTCAAATGAAATTTAAATGTACAAGTCATCAAAGCAGTGAAGAGAAAGATGGTGGGTTAGTTTCAGTAGTTGGTGCAAAGAAATAAAGGTGAGAGAGAGGGAGTGGTGGTAGTGGTTGTGTGACAGGAGTGAAAGAAAAAGCACTAATGATGGGGGGAAGAGTTTCTTGATCTCTTTTCTTTTTTTTCTCTTGGGGTTGCAGAATAAAGTACAGGCTCTTGCTCCTGCACTTCTTACACTATGGATTGTGCTTGTGATTTTGTTGTCTTTAAATGGACACCTTTACACTATTTCACATGTTTGCAGGTATCAAAATAAAAACGTTTTGTATGAATCCAGCAAACGTTTAACAGAAGCTACCCGGGATACCGTGAAAACCGATAGCTTAGTCATGGTATTTAAATATGATTGCGTTTAAGAAGGCTCAGGTTAGGAGGATCAGGGCTTTGTTTTCCCTATTCTGTTTTTAAACAGGCCAGGCCAAGCCAAAAGCCCGAGCCAAATCAGGTTTTTTGTAGACCTGAAAGAGTGTGAATTACTCATTCCGTCCCAAAAGAAACGTCTACATTGAAAAAAGCACATATTGTTAGAAACGTGTAGTTATTACAGTTTTTAATTTAAAAAATGACAATTTTACCTTTAATTATAGAGATAAATTTTATCCACCTCAAAATAAATGGGGAAATGAACTTTTTACTTTTGAAAGCTAATACTTATTTTGGAACAAACTAAAATAGTATAACGTAGACGCTTATTGTAGGACGGAAGGAGTAGTGTTTTTCCGGTCCTAACCGTTTTGGGCCTCTCCCGGTTCTTATGTATGTGGAACATCATCTTAGGGGGCGGAACAAATGGAAGCAACCTGCAGGTTGGAAATGTGAAAACACGAAGAGAAAAAACGAAGGCAAGGGAAAAAAATGTTGTGCTTTTATATAATTTGTTTGTTTCCAAATTTTGATTATATTCCCTTTTTTCTGATTGAAAAATAAAGGGAATTATTTCTTGTTTTAAGACTAATATCGTAAACCGTTATTTGAATCCCATCATTTTGATCAAACCCATCTAACGGTCGCGATCTATTTCCAGGCTCTTCTTGTTCGAACCGTTCTGTGTCACTTTAATGCTTCAATTCGCATCAAGAGGTATGTTCTATCGATCAATATTTGACAAGATTGAAATAAACCAGGTGGTGTCTCCATAATATGCAACAACAAAGCATGTTATATGAAGTTGAAACACAGCCCCTTTTCATAAAGACCCCTTTAGAAGGAAGCATGTAGTGTAACGTACAAGTCACTAAAGCATAAAGTAGAGTTGGACCATTTGGAGCTGGGGTTAGAGTGATCCAAAACAAGAAAGGTCAGATTGTGAGTGAGTGTGGGTAATGGATTTATTTACTGTCAAAAGTAAGAAGGAAAAAAAGATGAAAAAAGTAAAAGTTAATAATAAATAAATAAATAAAAAGAAAATGTTAAAAAAAAAACAGCGTACGAATGGGTTGGAAGTTGGAACTCTCACTTTTTTACCTTCACCTTCTGCCTTCTATATACAGAAGGTCTGCTATACACGCTTGTACGTTACAAACATGTTTGTACTTCTTTATTTGTTTCCAAAATTGACAAATTGTACGGGATAGGTTAAAGGGGAAATCACCAAAATGACTAATTTATATCTAATGTATTAACAAAATAGTCATTTTTGTAATTTTTACACAAAATGACTATATGGATCGTCCCCATGCGGGGTCGATTTGACCTTGTTTGACCCAAAAAATACACAAACAATCTTTTAAATTGATTTGAGGGTTCACATGTATCTGATTTGGGGGACAAGATATCTGGTTTTTCGTATCAACAATCATTAAAAAATATTAATATTTGGTGGTTATAAAAAAATATTATTTTTATAAGAAAATATAAAAACATTCGTTGGTTCATTTATGCGTTTAAAAAAGTTGTAAAAATTGTAAAGTTTGACGTGATTTCATATTGTGTTAAGAGTTGTGATGGTAGATTGTGTTTAAGAGTTACGGGTTGTGAGAGTAAAAGTGTTTGATTTTATAGAGAAAAACCACAATATTTGGTCCTAAAATAGACAAAATACCAATCAAAATTGTCCCCCGTTTATTTGGAAACACACCTTAATTGGCAAATCGCTGTCCTTACTAAATGATGAAATAGCAGTCAATGATGTAAGTAGAATCACCCTGAGGGGCAATCCGGGGTTTTATAAAAATCAGATTTTTTGTTTCCCAAATCAAATACATGTAAGCCCCACTTTGGTACTTTTTTTGGTCAAATCGCCCCCGAGGGAGGTCCTTGTGGTCACTTTGTGTAAAAAAAGTGAAAAATGACTATTTTGTTAATACAATATGTATAAATCGGCTATTTTTGTGATTTTCCCTAGGTTAAATACACCTCTCTATATGTTGTTAAGTGCATATTTATCTAGTATTTTTCTTTTTATAGACATTAACATTAAAACTTATTTATCACATTTTCAATATATGATTTAAGCTGATTTTGACATGAAAGGAATGCATATAGCAATCCCTAAATATTTCCTCTAAATATTTCTTAGCAAGTTTAAGGGGATGACTATGTATCAAAATACGAATGAATTTTTTCATTCTCTCAATTTAATCTGAAATGAAAATTTGGGTTTTCGAATGATGGGTCTGTTATATTATATAATTTTTTTTATTTTAAATTCATTAACTGCCGTTTAATACCTCTAAAGAAACAACCAATTTTTTTACTAATTTAAAGTTATTAATGTAATGATTAATACAAAAGAAATCTTACATTTTTTTTAATAAAAATAATATATCGTAATCATCTTTGAGATTAATTACTTTCAAGAAAAGAAATATTATATTTTGAATATAAAAATTATATATCATAACCATTTTAATAAGTTTGTATGATACATATACACTAAAAGGATACTCGTATAATGTAGTGAGATACATTTTGATTTTAATGTTTTCTTTTATATGTTGGGTCTATTGATGTTATAATGCGATTTTATGTGATTTTGAAAAAAAGAAAATATTTTATTTTTAATGAAATATAAATTTGAAGATATTATAAATTTTTTCAAAAAAACAATCGATATTATCATTAAATTAACTATTTAAAAGTTCTTGTTTTAGTGTAATTTCTGTAAGTCAATTTTTATTATAATTTAATTGAAGTTTAATAACGAACTAATTTATTTTTGGTTTAAAAAAATAACTTTTTTAAGATGATAATTAAATATTCTGTTAGAATTCAATTATTATTTTAATTATATTTTAGGTTTTTTATATTTAAAATGATGTTTATCATGTATTTAATTACGTTTATTTACAGTTAGTTACACGAATTCAAACATGAAACTCTAATAAGATATACTCATGCGTATTCTACTTGTAATCTTAAATTTTAAGTAATATGCATCAATAAATAATATTTAATATGTAAAAAAATATTTTTAAGAGTTTTTATCAAATATTTTATAATATAATATAAATTATATATTCAGTTATATTATTAAAATTTTCATAAATTTAATAAAATGATATTTTTTTTTCTAAACATTTTATTATAAATCTTATTGGTGAAAATATATTAAAAACGTATTAAACTTTTACTATAATATTTAATTTTTTACGAGTTATCTATATTTGTAGTTTTTAACACACACTTTTTTTTTTTTAAAATTTGTTAAAATAAAAAAATAAATAAAAATCTCCAAAATCTCCAATTTTTTGCATTAAAAAAACTTTTATTACTCTATTATATTCAGATCATCTCTCACCCAACATTAAAAATATAAATGTAAAGGTATTTTCATCTTCAACTCAACGTTCAAAAAATGGAGGTCTAAAATATTGACTTTTATTATATTTAGAGGTCAATAAAATAGTCCTCTAAAAATATATATTAATATTTTATTCAACTTTTCTAATTATATATATATTAAATTAACAGTTTAATACATAATAAAATAGTATAATAATCGATACACATATTATTTTATTACTAAAAATATTAAAATAGTATAATAATCGAAGTTGGATTTTTTTAAGTGTTCAAGAAACCCACCATTTTTAATGGCTTCAGCGTTATTTTTTTAGTGGTTTGATCGAAGATACCATTAAGGATGAGGTTCAAACGAGAATAATAATCAAATAAAATAACATGAAAATGATCAAATCTTGTACAAAATCACATGTGATTTTACACCAATGATCAATCTAAAGGTGCGACTCAGCAGTCACGACCAAAATCGCATGAACCAAATATATGATTTTAATGTAAAATCACATGTAATTCAATACACGTACGAACATGATTATCCTTTGGATACAATTTATGCCCCTAAATGTGTAATGGAAAAAGAGGATTTGTTTGGAAGGTGGTTCAAAATTTTTATGGGTTTCCGTATGAGATAGTGTCAGAGACAAGAGCTGCCATAAAGCCATTGCAGCATAGCTTAGCACAGCATACATACTACACTATACTACACTCTAGTAGCAACACAGGTTTTGCAGTCATTATTCACGAACAAACCCACTCCATTTCTCCATTTACTCCCCTCCATCTTTTCTCTGTTTCCAACCAATTCCATTCAGGGTTTTTGTGAATCAAAAAAGGACTGTTTGTTCTTCTTCCACCTTTTTGGTTGAGTTCAAATGGAGACGATGAGGAATCATGACAGTAATTCTCGCTTTCCGTTTACGTCTAGTCAATGGCAAGAGCTGGAACATCAGGCACTTGTTTACAAATACATGATCTCCGGTATGCCCATCCCTCCTGATCTCCTTTTCTCCATCAAAAGAAGCTTGGATCCTTCGACCAAACTCATCCTTCATCATCAATCGCCTCATCAATCCAGTAAGTTCGATCTCTAGTTCCTGTTTTTTTCATGCTGAATGTAGTCGGTTTCTTGAACATGGATATGCATGCCAAGTGTTTGAAGTATTTCCTCTTTTGTCAAAAATAGAGAACATGAACTAATTCCAGACCTAATTAACAAAAGGGTATTGTATCATTGATGGATGTATAATACAATTTGCAGTTGGATGGAACTGTTTCCAGATGGGATTCGGGAGAAAGATCGATCCAGAGCCAGGGAGATGCAGAAGAACAGATGGTAAGAAATGGAGATGCTCTAAAGAAGCTTATCCCGATTCAAAATACTGTGAAAGGCACATGCATAGAGGAAGAAATCGTTCAAGAAAGCCTGTGGAAGTAAACTTATCATCAACACAGCCATTGTCAATGTGTAACAAACCTCCAGCCTTCCTTTATCCCCAACTATCCTCATCATCCTGCAGTAGGCCTGTTTTGTCATCTCATCAAGATCGGATGTTTATGTTGGAATCTAGGGCCTACTACTCGCATTCAGAAAAAGATCAGAGGTTGGTTTGTGTCAAAACTTTACATGCATTAATCTCTTCTTGTCATGATGATTGTACACATGCAGACACGCACATGCTAATGTCCAGTCGCTTAAATGATTCTTTTCTCTGAACACATCAACATATGCTTTGACAACTCCTACTTTTTCTTGCTAAACTTACCATTTCAAGATGCAATATTTAACCAAACACTGTCATTACCATGCTTTTGTTTGCACCTTTCTTTCATTTCTTTCTACTTCTTCACTCTATATGTATATATTCTTTTTGAGTTACCAATGTCAGGGGTATTCTTGTCATTTGAAACCTTAATTAAGCTCTTGTAGTTCCAAACTAACATTAAGTATAGAAAATTAAGTTCAGGTACCCATGGGCCACGTCATGTATTACATTTTCATGCAAACTAAAGGGTTTTTTTTTCCAGACAGTAGAATGAACATAAGAATGAATGAAAATGAGAATGCGTCTATTATATTATATAAAACTAAGTCGTTTCTTTTATTTTCAATCTCGTTGATTAGTGGTTAATACCTCTGATCAAACACACCAAGAATTACATCATCTCAAATCTTATATATTCGTATATATGTATATGTGTTTGTATGAACATATAGATGCAGAAAATGGTATTTGAGATCTGTGACGGAATAACTAGTCATTTCACATTCCTGTCTACCAATCACATGATACGCAATTACACATCGGATAGAGAACGTAAACTTGAATAAAATAAATTTAAAATATATAAAAATCTGATGTGTCTTAATTTCATTGGTGAATCACAGGCAAGAGACAACAAATTTTTATCCTTGCTTAATTTATGGCCTTGTGATTTTGAGTTGGATCAAAACAAAAACTTATGGCTGTTATATATATATATATGGGATTTTAGGCTGATATTTGGTGATGATATTTTGTTAGCTATGGGATGAAAGAGGATCAGGCAGATGAACATCCATTTTTCTCAGAAAATAGTTGTGGCACCATGTCTGCTTCAATGGCTGATTCTTGGCATTTGGAACCATTGGCTATCAACAACTCTTCTTCCTCTTCTTCAAAGCAGCAGACTTTCTCTGATTATAAAAATGGCTACTCATATGATCTGCAGCTTCAAAACACTCCAAAACAACAACAACAAAATCAGGATCAGTTGGGTCTAGAAATCGAAAGAAAAGATGAACCCCAGAAAATGATGCACCATTTCTTCGATGAATCGCCACGTGATGCCAATGATTCTTCATCAACTCAACTCTCAATCTCCATCCCCAGTTGTGCTCATGACTTCTTCCTGACCCATAATGGTAATTTACCCTTAACTAATTCCTACTCTTTAATTAACACATGCTCCATTCTTTATAAGAGTTTTTGCTCATTTTCTTGTTTTTGGTTGCAGATAAATGAGGTTTAGAAGCGTTGCTTAACTCCAAACTGTATGAGGTAATGTTATTGATAACTGTTGCTGTGTTTTGGTTTATCGTACGTGTAATTGTGGAAGGAAAGCCGGTCAGATGCTACTATTGGCATGTGTTTTATTAAGCTTGCAGTGTATTGTTTCTTCTTTTAAAGGAGCATGTTTTCATGGGATGGTCTATAAAGAAGTATAACTACAAGTTTTGTTCAACTACATGTGTTAACCAAGTTAATGCATAGAAGGCGATCGATCCTTACGAACACATGGTCAGATAGAGACATAGAGTGGCACGTTTTCTTCGACCCCGAGTCAAGTGGGTTGATTCAATTTGCATCATTTTCTGCATTTATCCTATAGATACGTGTCGCTGCAATGTGTATATTGGGTCGAGTCGCGAACCAGATCGCTCTTTTAAGGACGTTCGCGGCCCAGATTGATGCAAGCAGACTATCAACCACATCGTCCGGTCACATGATAAAACAACCCATTAAGACTCTTGTGTCGGGTCTCTTGTGCACTCGAGAAAACCGGAATATACTTGCACCCAATGTACATGCAATAAAAATATTTAGGTATATAACCTTGAATGAGATCTTACTTAAATCCATGACCTTCTAACGAGGTGAAACCATTTTCCTTTTAATAGTATCAGGAGGTCATGAATTTAATTAAAATCTCATTTAAAATTATATATCTAAACGTGACATAATCACCACCAATACGATATCTTTTTTTCCTTAACAACCCGTTTTTTATATAAAAAAAAAGGGAGGATAACATGCAGCAAATCAGAAATGGTTTTTTGTTGAACTCTTTATCGGATTCCTATCCACCAATCAGATAAATACACGTCTTTCACAAATAAGATAAAAAAGAATTAAAAAATATAATTATATGGTTTCACATAATTGATGGGAGAGATTCAAGAGTGAGTTTTAGTAGATATCTTTACTCAGGTTTTTTGGTATATAACCTTAAATGAGATTTTAATTAAATACATGACCTTCTCATGAGTATAAACCTATTTTTTATTATGGAAATCATGAATTTAATTAAAAACTTATTTAAGGTCATTTAATTAAATGACACTAATTTTTAGTATCAGACTTCTAGGGTGTAACCTAGAACAAAATATAGTGGAATTTTTTGGTTTATATATAATAATAATGTAGGATGTAAGTTGCATATTTCGAATGTTTTTGTAAACCATGAAGATACGATGGGAATGTATTATAAGAAGCACTGTTGGATGGGCTTTTGAGCCCAAAGTAATTCCGAACAACGGACTGCATCAGTACCACCACCCACCCCGGCTAGATGGCCAAATTGGATCCGGTTCGATAGGACCAATAGGAACCCGTTTTGGTCCAGACTCAAGGTCCGGCTTAGCATGGTCTGGAGGACCTGGAACTGGTTTCGAGACAAGTTATACATAACCCTAATGTTTTTTAAAAATAAGTTTTTATAAATTATATATCAAGATTTTCAATATTAAATTTCAAAAATCGAAATTATAAAAATATGTATAACCTTTTTTTTGTAAAAATGATTTAAAAAAATATTTTGATAATATTTGAACGACCCAATTATATACTCTAAAGTGTATTTCATTAAGATATTGTTCAAACTTCAAACCTAATATTTTATATCTTGGAAAAGAAAATCTCCAAACCCGATTTGGGCTCGGCCCATGATCGGAACCGGTTACAACTTACAAGTCACAAGAGGACAATCTCGGACCGAAACTAATTTAGGCCCGTCGGGCTAGGGATCAAGTTTTGGCCATCCTGAAGATGCTTTATTTTATTCGATTAGATATCAATTTTCTCTTCGGTATATGTTAATATCTTTTAAAATAAAAATTAATATTTTTAAACATTTAAAACTATATATTAATTTTGTTTTGCAAAAAAAAATATAAATTTTAATTTTGACGTGTAATTTGATGGATTTATTACTATTAATTGCTCAAAACGTCTTCTAATAATAACAAAGTGGATAGAAATTACGAACTAAAAGACAAATATATAAATTTCAGGACTATTACATATATGGTGGGTTGGGGGAGAATTAAGTGCACGTTTTTTGAAACAACTTCAATTACTTGTATGCATAAAAATCAAGAAACAACTTCAATTACTTGTATGCATTGGTAACCGTTCATTTGAACAGTATGCACATATCTATGCATGTAATTTCTAAGTAATTATAATAAATGAAGTTGATTATCTTTTATAATATATGGTTTTTATTTTATTACACTTATTGTCTGTATACATAATAAGTTGATCATGTAACTGAATATGAAGCTACAGTTGAAAGAGTCTTCCATTTTTATAACACCAGGATCTAACTGCGTTATTTTTTATTATTAACCTAGATATCCAACTTGTTATTCGAGTCGACTAATCTTAGGGCGACCACCTGTTTTACAGATAGTCCGGAGTCACCGCATTTGAACCTCCGTGGCTACAAGGGGATTTTTATTCCTCTTTGGATTTGAACCTTGGACCTCCTGGTACTTTTGTCCTTTGGAGCCAAGTTCAAACCAATCAGGCACCGCCCTTGTGGTTAATCTAACTGCATTATTATGATAAGAGCTCTCATACACCATGGTTCCTTGTTCCGAAGCTGCGAGAATTCGAGAATCGCGTGATAGAAACCCAACGTCAAGATCGGTGGATTCTTGTGATGGTGTGAACTCCCAAAAATGGCTCGAACGGTCGATGGGTTGTAGGAGAAAACCAGATACGATGTTGTTTCTTTGTTTGTAGAGACGGAAAAAATAGGGATCGTATGTGAGTTCATTGAATTCTTTGTTGGTGGAAACTATGGTATCGAAGATTTTTAAGGATGTTCGTGAAAGAATCTCGATGTTCATCTCGTGAGGAAGCTTCGAATCCATTACAGAAAGTTAGGGTTTGAATGGAGGGGATGAAGTGATGAATGGTTTTTGAAAGACAGTAAATTTTTTTTATATGATTTTTTTCGATCTAAAACTACGATTTAGAATATTAATTTAACATATATTTGTTTCATAATATGTTTGTTTTATTCAGTTCACAATGTGAACGTTTACACGTAAAAAGTTTCATGTTGTGAAACGAATATATATAAAATAAATACATTACCAAATATATGTTAATTAACACATTAAATAGTATGCATACATACGAAAGAAATTTCGAAGGTTTTCCCTGACTTTGTCCATGTCAACAAACAATTTGAAATACCTCGACTTTTTAGATTTTCTTGTGAAAAAAACCAGAGTCAAAGCTACCAATCCACTATCAACACGCCAACGAAGAACACAGATTCAAAAACAAAAATAATATGAAATCTCTTAGATGAAACACAATATATTCATGGAAAAAAAAAGTCAGATTTATACCAAAACAGAATCAGATTCAAGAATTCTAAATCATTATACAAATCTTTGTATAAGAATCATGTTCAAACAAAAACCCTAAATCGAAACCCTCGCACCACAATAGAACCAGATGCACACCCAAAAAAACCCTAGGGAAAAGGAACGAGAACGACCCCCTTCTGGGTTCTAGTTTTCGACACTTTGTTGTTCGGTTAAGGGTTCGAACCCACGACCATGATCGCAACGTTTTCAGTGACATTCTTAGTATTGGGATTAATTGGCAATTCGAAAACCTGCTTAATCACAGGTTTACATAACATATATGTAATACATTAAGCCCTGCCCATGATGCCTAGGATTAGGACTCTCGAACATGATGATTCCTTTCTCCGAAGCTGCAAGAGTGCGATTACGAGGTGATAGAGAACCAAGGATCATTTGACGGTGCAAACTCATGAAAAGCGTTGATGGTTTGTACGAGAAAACCAGATACGATGTTGTTTCTTCGCTCGTAGAGATCGAGAAATATGGATCGTATTTGGGCTTGGTGATTTCTTCGGTGGCGTCGAATGTTTTTAAGGATGTTCGTGAAAGAATCTCAACGTCAGGAAGCTTGGAATCCATTTACAGAAAATTAGGGTTTGAGTGGAATATAAGGGATGAATGTAGAATTGAAGATATATATTTTTTATTAATCTGGATATTCAATCCGTTATACGAGTCGACCAATCTTAGGACGACTATTTGTTTTACAGATAGTCTAGAGACAACACATTTAAACCCCAAGCTCAAACCAATCAGTCACCACACACACGTGGTTGAATTGAAGATATTTATACCTATCGATATATGGAAAAGAAAAAAAGCCGATGGAGTTGTAATCTGATTAAAGATATTTTCGTATTATTTATGTTATTATATTTATATTTATATTTGGCGGGAAATGAAAAAAGGAAACTAAATTTATCTCCTCGATACTTGATATTTGATGCTTGCGATGCAAGTTACCAATGCTTGTGTGTGAATTAATAGTTTCCACCTTCTTAATTTTAAAAGATTTTTTTTTCAAAATAATATGAGTGATTGTTTGTTTACCTTTTAATAGTTTTATTAAAAAGAAACATCTGAATCATTAAAATGTGAATCTTATTTGAAAAAATAAAAGTCTGTTTTTAATGGTTTTAAAACCCTTTGAATGCTTTTGTATCATCGGTCTCCCTTAACCATTAAGAGCTCTAATTTCATTGTAAACAATTACCAAACAATTATATTTCATTTTGCATTATATCATGAGTCTTTTAATCATTTTGAACACTTAATCATTTTACACCAAATCATTCAGCAACTGCTAAACAGCCTCTAAATGTATATAAAAAGGAAAAAGTTAAAATCTCCGAAAAGAATTATCTTATCTCCAAGAGATTCTCTATTTTGAAGATTACAGAATTAAATATATTATTAAAATATTCAATACAACTTATAAAATATTATTATCTTGTAAATATTTAATTTTAAACAATCTCATTGGAAGAATGAAAAAAAAAATCTCTACCATTAATTTGTAACTGTTTTTGGAAAAATCTCTAATCTTTGTCACGTTTTCTGAACTTGTAACTATCAGTTTTACTTTTATAATTTTTTTTGTATTTAATCAATTTTATTTATTAATATAATTAAATTAATATATCTAAATATTCTTAAAGTAATTACATTTAAATATAATTAATCATTCAGTGAACTAAAACAAACACATAATTAAGATAATTATATTGATTCAATGATGGCAACTAAACACGAGGGTTGTGTTCGTTGCAGGACTTAAACCTACACCTTACAGCACGAGCTGACGATAGCCATGCACCACCTGTGTCTGCGTTCCCGAAGGCACCCCCTTGGATTTGTCAATTATGTTATAGCCGGAGTCCAGCTCATGACGACCTGGTCCAATTGATCTATAGGATTTGATTTGATGGATAACGAGCCAGCCAAAATGGTATTTATTTTTGTTTTTGTTTTTGAAGAATCTTTACAATTCGGGTATAGCCAGCTCCCATAGTGTGACGGGCGGTGTGTATAAGTCCCGGAACGGATTCACCGGCGTATGGCTGACCGACGATTACTAACGATTCCGGCTTCATGCAGGCGAGTAGCAGCCTGCAAGCACAAGCTATCAATTCTTTTTCTAGATTGGAATCCCTAAAAGAGGTCTATGGGATCATATGGATGCTTATCCCTATTTTTACTCCTATATTAGGAATCATAATAGGTGTACTAGTAATTGTTTGGTTAGAAAGAGAAATCTCTGCGGGTATACAACAACGTATTGGCCCTGAATACGCAGGACCTGTGGGAATTCTTCAAGCTCTACATGCTAATACTCACGATTTACATTATCTTTTACTCTATCAAAGCGGCAGATTTCTAAATTTTCATAGGGCCCTCCCCGAATTCCTTCTAGAACCTCTTGAATAATTTTTATGGATTCTGTATGATTTATTTAAATTAATATAATAAAATAAAATCTAATTTCTTATAAGTTTCCAAATAAACAAATATATAAAAGATTTAAAAACCTTAAAATGAAAAAAAAAATTATTTGCATTTTTTTTAATTAATTTAAACTCAGAATCTAATTAATAACGTTCGAAAACTTGCATTGCAAGTAAGAAGATAATCGTTGCATGCAAAAAAAAAACTAATAAAAGGAAACAACATTTAATTCCTTATAAGGTTCCATAAATGCAGATATACAACAAAAAGTAAAAGATTTGAAGAAATCTAATCAGTTTACGTATATATATATATATATATATATATATATATACACATATCATCCCTTCCAATCAAACCCTAACTTGCTGCAATGGATTCCAAGCTTCCTCACGAGATGAACATCGAGATTCTGTCACGAACATCCTTAAAAACCTTCGACACCATAGTTTCCACCAACAAAGAATTCCATGAACTCACATACGATCCCTATTTTCTTCGTCTCTACAAACAAAGAAACAACATCGTATCTGGTTTCATCGTACAACCCGTCGCCCGTTTGAGCTATTTCCGTGAGTTTGCACCATCACAAGAATCCACCGATCTTGATCTCGGGTTCCTATCGCGCGATGCTCGAATTCTCGCGACTTCGGAGCAAGGAATCATGGTGTTCGAGACTCGTCATCGTACGTGCCGTGGACTAGTCCGGTACCATGTCTGTAAACCTGCAACTAAACAAGTCGCGGCGTTGCCTAATCCGAAAACGCATTACTTAACCGAAAAGGTTGCGATCGTGGTGGTGGGTTCGCAGCCATTACATTACAAGATTCTAAGATTATCTCAACGGCATAACAAATAGTGAGTATCTTGAACGATTTCGTGTTCTTTTTAATTAAAGTTTAATCGGAGTAAATTACGATAAACAATCAATTTAATCGATCGTTTGTTTTGTTTTTCTAGTTCTTCGCCACGGCAAGGGAAGCTTTACACCGCATACTGTTGCGAAATCTTCGACTCAGCGACATTGGCATGGAAACTGTTGGACGATATAATGCTGCCCGACTGCGTTTTCTTGACGACTTCACAACCCATCAACATCGCGGGGTCGATCTACACGTTATTGACGAACAACAGCGTCTTGAAGTTTGATATCTATTCGGATAAATGGACGACGTTTCCGTTGCGAGTTCCAGACGATCCATTTAACGATTTGAAGCTCGTAAAGTATGAAGGGATGTTGGCATTGGCTCGTAAACCGTGGAACGGTGGTTGGGAGATTTGGATTGGTACGATGAATGAATCGTGGGAGAAAAAGTATGTTTTGAAGGAAAAGGAAGATAGATGTAGAGAAGGGACGTCCGTGGACCTCAACTCATTCTACGATTCAGACACGAGCGTTGTTGTTGATCATGATACACTCGAATTTTACGATTTTAAAAAAGGTGGTAGCATCAGTAAGATTAGATTGAGTCGTTATGCGCTTGCTGATCATATATTTGCTTTTAGATCGGATTTTGAACCAGTTGAGTTAAGGGGTCGGTCGATGATATAATTGACTAGTATTTCACATTTTATTTGTTTCAAAGAGTTGTATTTATATATATATATATATATATATATATCACTACTAGAAAATATATATTTCCTGCGGACAAAATCCACCGGCGGAAACCAAAAAAATCAACTTTCGTTGAGTTCTGCTGGAAATCCATCAGAAATCTGCCGTTAAATATATTCCGGCAATATTTTACAAAATTATTAACTCTAATTACAATAATTTAACGGCAGATTTCCGACGGTCGTATTACTCCAGAAAAGAAAATTTGCCTGAAAATTAATCACCGACGCCTCTTTTTCCGTCGGAAATGCTTTTTTCCGACGGATATAACCGTCGAAATATGGACATGTTTGGTGGTGATAGGTTTTGTTGCAGTAAAACGGTTAGTTATTTTAGAACGTTTAAAGGACTTTTTTTTATTCAAGATTCTTAAATTTCTCTTGGAATATAAAAATTATAATTCTGTTTGATAATTTTTTGATTTGAAGAAATTTGGTTGGCATAAAAAAGGAGTTTGATTGATGAATAATTTAAATAATCACTAAAAAGAGGGTAATTAAGGTTGTGTTTTTTTGAAGAGGTGTTAAGCTCTGTTTAAACTTTTCATTTATAAGAGGTAGTCCTAATGTCTAAAATCTGGATTAGTAAGATTGTTTGTTTTTACGTCTGAAGTCTGAAATTTGAATCGGTCAAACTAGTACAAAAATATAAAAGATAAATAGTTTTTACAAAAGTATAAAAAAATGAATAGTTTTTGCCGATAAATCTCTTTCAACCCCCAAAATAAGAACCATACGATAAAGGGCAGATTAGGATCAAGATGTATTAAGAGATACATTTGCCACTTAAAATTTCAGAGAACATTTAGAGCCTTTAAGCTCTTATTTCAAAAATAAAACAAACGTTCTTAATACTCAAATATCCAAACGAATCAAATTTCAAAGAAACGAATCAAATTTCAAAGATATTAAAAGGTAATTTTAAAAAAACAAATAAGTCCAACTTTTTAGTCTTTTTTCAATTGGTCATTCTAAAAACTTAGAACCTAATAATTTCCATATATGAAAAAGGAATGGATGTGGGGAGTTCATTTATAAACACAACAATTTTGGTGGATAAATTTAAAACTTAAATTATTTAATTTAAAAAAAAAATATTTAATATAAGAGTTCCTTATAATTAATCATATATAATCCAGTTATATAAAAAGCTATATGATAACATTTTTCAAATATTTTCTATAATAAATAATTATTTATTAATATACTAGTTGTGTACCCGCGTAATGCGGCGGGAGCCATGAATTTTAACGATTTTGAAGTTTCACTGGTTTTATAAGATAAGATTTGACGATGATATAGGTTACACTTGGTCTTTATATATTAATACAATTTTAATAAATAAGAGTTATGGTTCCAATTATAGACTATCGATGAAAAAAAATTGTATGACAATTTAAAATCCAATATATTTAAAATCCAACATATTAAAACGACTTCACAATTGTATTCGATTTACACCAAGAGCAAAGAACCAAGAAAATTGAGTTTTAAGATAAACACTCAAAACCAATAAAGAAAACTACAAATTTAACATATCATAAGCCATGAAAAGATTAAAAAAATGGGTTTTAGAATGAAATTTCAACTGCTTACCCTCTTTCTTGTCCATAAACTCAGATTAAGGTTGAATTAATACATGTATATATATATTTCAAAAAAACCCAAGAACATATTAATTCAAAACATATTATACAGTGCAATTTGGACAGCCTAACCCCAAAATATATAGTATATATATATATAAATAAATAACTATAAAAAATCGTAAATATTAAAAATATTTTTCACAGTATATATGATGTATAATAATATAATTAAGTAAAATACTATTCAATATTGGACTCATTTCGAAGGTATTAACGAGACGATTATAATGGTGTAACTTGTTAAAATAAAAATATATTTTTTAAACATGTTTTAATTGATATACAATTATGTATGTTAATTTGATAAAAGTTTAAAATGAAACATTTAAAAGTAAAGGATGTAAAGTAAATTAATTAATTAATTATAGGGGTATAAAATATAAATTTAAAATTATAATTTTAAAAAAAATGGTTTGTGAGAGGGTGAGTGTATGTGAGGAGAGGAGGGGGTGAAAAAGTGAAAAAGTGAGTATAAAGTGTATTATGGTCATTTAGAGTTTTAAGACTTTTGTTAAATTTGGTTAATAAGATAGTATAGATAATTTTTTTCATAATAACACTATAAATACATTTTATCAGATTATAAAATCAAAACATGTAACAGTATCTCCAATACATTCTTTAAATAAAAGTTCTTTAAAATGAAAAATCAAAACTCAAAAACTGTATAAAAATTGCATCAAAACTCTAATAAATTCTTTATTTCGAAGATTATAACATTGATTATTATTAAACTATGATATATATATATATATATATATATAATAAAATATTATTTCTCTTCGATAAAATTTAATATCCATGTTTTCTTATTGTCGTTCTGACTGATTTTGGTTGTTGGCCTCAATTTGAGGTGCCTTCTGTCGGTTTTATGGTTTCTCTTTGGTTGGTTTTGTTTTCGTCAGTTGTTGATTTGTCTCCTTGTAGATTTCGTTGTTTTGTTCTTCCCCTTGTACATTAAATAGATTGATATCTGATTTTGAACTGGAAGCTTTGATTGATGGTGACAGCGGCGTTCCCTATACGATCCAAAGCCCGGTTTGCTTCACATTCTTCTTGATTGTCTGGTTCATCTTCCTGATTTCTCATAAAATTCCTCTTTCCGCATTGAATTTTGTTTAATTTTTCAAAATAAAATTTGTAAAGAGGTAAATACCCCTCTGACCAATAACGGAGTTAGTGATCAGAGATCATTTTCAGAGCAAAATGAGAACCACAAGAATGTTTTCTAGGCTTATCAAAGTTTAGGTCTCACTTCCAGACTTTTCACTAAACCTTAGGGACCAAATTTGAGTTTACTCTAATGAAAAGTATCACAACAGAATTGGCTTTATAAAATGATTAAAATGTTTGAGTATTCTAATACCATATTTTATAGGAGTTAAGTTTATAAAGCCAAACTACAAAGCGTCATATCTAAAAGTGTTACAATAAGTTTATAAGATATTTTAACAAGTTTTTAAGACACTTTTAAAATAAGGTATCGTAGTAGCTATTTTATAGGACATTTGTGTTTATACAACATTGTTTCAAATAGTGTCGTATAAAATAACTAATACGACCATTTATTTTAAAAAGGTTCTAAAAAACTTGTTAAAACATTCTATAAGCTTATTGTAACATTTTTAGATAAAAAGTTTTTTTGTTAGATCTTATAACCGCAAGTCCTAGAAAGTACCCTTTTAGTACGCTTGAAAATCTTCGAAACCATGTGTTGCACCATCAAAGAAATCAGCAAGCTCAAATATGGTCCGTATTTTCTCCATCTCGACAAGCGAAGAAACAACATAGTATCCGGTTTTTCGCGTACAAACCATCAAATGGTTTACACGAGTTTGCACCGTCAAATGATTCCGCTGATCTCGATCTTGGTTTTCTTTCACCTGATGATCGCATTCTTGCAACTCCCGAAAAAGGAATCATCGTGTTTGAGAGTCCCCATCCTAGGCATCATGGCCGGGAATTTTACTACGTTTGTAAACCTGAGACCGACCACGTTTTCTAATTTCCTATTAATCCCGAAACTAGGAATGTCGTCAAAAACGTTGCGATCATGGGAGTGGGTTCGAACCCGTAAGAATTTCACCCAAAAATGTGCTAATCATATTCAAGGGGCTTTTGTTGTTCTTGAAGCATAATGAGCAATTAACGACCTTGTTTTTTTTCCTGTTTTTAAAATTTTCGCAACAATGGGACAAGCAATACACCAAATGTCTTTTTTTGCTGTGAAGTTTCAAATGTAAAAAAGTTGTTAAACGAAAACAGTTTTGTCTCACGTGAACCTAACCCTACTTATAGTATTTATATATAGCTTTCCTTTGTTCTATATATAACAATATGTATAGAGGGTTGGGTTCACGTGAGACCAAGAGTTTTTCGTGAGACCCGTAAGACGAATTTATGTTCATTGATCAACTTTATAAGTTAATGATTTAATGGTCTAAAGTTGCACGGTGGCAATTTTGTGATTATTGAGAAGTCTCGTGGCAATTTTGTGATTATGAATGTTCAGATTGTAGATCTAATCCAATGGTTGAGAATTGATCTTACATGTCTCACGAAAAACTCTTGTTCACACATGATTCCAAGTCTATATAGAGAACATGAATACTCATTAAGTTCCATCCACCATAAAAGACATATATTTCCTTAACAAAAGTAATAACACAATCTCTAATTTAAGATTTGTTGTCAAAAAAGGAAAACTCTTTCAACTCATGGTTGAAATCGAGTTACATCATCTATATATATAAAATATCGTTCTTTTGAAAAGCAACTTAATGAAGTTCCACATATTCTTATAAGCAACAACAACAACAGCAGTAAGGGTTTTGTTGATCACAAATATTGTTTATGGATCCTTGCTCTATTCTCTTCCCACCACAATCTTGCGTGCACCTCCCCGAATTTTTCTCGACTGCAATGCAATTCTAACATCGCGTTATGCACCGATCGTTTTTACTTATTTTACCTTAGAGCATTCACAATGATGGGTTTTTTATTCACGAGTTTTCTTAAACAATGCGATGCGGCTCGCAAACTTAGGTGGCTAAGGGAAAAAAATGGTATCCACAAGCTAACAAGCAAAAAGAGGCTCTTTTTTAGTTTCTGTCTGAAAGGCATTTTACTTCACTAATTGAACATAGAACTCGTCATCAAACTTGATCTCTATATTTGAACGGCAAAATATTGGCCTAGATATTTCAAAATTATTATTATATTGGTTTTTGTAATTATTTATATATATTTAATATATTAATTATTTAGTGTTCAATAGACCCATCATTTTTTTAATGTTCGACCTTTTCTTGCCGGGCTAAACTTTGGGGGTAAAAATAGGCCCAAATGAGCTTTTTTAGGATCAGACAGATTTTTCGGGCCTGTCTGGCCTGGGCCTGAGCCTGAGCCCGCTTTTTGTGGTCGGGCTTCAAGCTGGGGGTTTCCATGCATCTCTAATCTTAGGTGGCTCGAAAGCTCTCCATTGTGGATGCTCTTATCGAAAGTCAGGCGTAGTTAAATTGAAAAAAACTACGTCAACGAACCTGAATCTGACACGTCTGAGTTCCCGTAAGCCGCCTGGAAGAGCTTTGATGGTGATGTAGACTCCTGGCTCGTCCTGTTCCACCCATTCGTTCTCGACATCACTGACATTGCTGATGGATAGCTCTCCTGAGCGATCGGCTTCTCTTGACGAGCTCGTTCTTATAGAGGCGTCCACGGATGATGTTTCCGTTTTAGCCCCACTAATACTTGATAGTTTTGGAGTAGCAGTGAGACCAGAGGAGTCCCGGTTGGATCGAACCATCACCGAGCTCGGGTGATCAAGTGAATCAGATGACGAGTATCCCATTCCCATCGGGCGGTATAAGGTACGAGGTAGCCTTTCTTTACTCAAAGGTGGTGTTATTGGACTGTCTCCAATAGATTCGAATTTCAAACTACTCTGTTAGACCAAGAAATTGAATTAACCTCATAATCAATCATTAACAGGAAAATGATCAATTCGAAACAATGTGATGATAAGCACATATATCATATATATATATATGTATGTATAATTACGATATGTTTGCCACCTCGTCTTCGGATCTTGGAGGCGTTGGAAGCGGAAACGCTTGCCGGTTTAACCTCTGGACGTTGTAAAGCTCCATTACTTTGTCGTAATTCTCTTGCCACCATTTTTGAGCTTGCCATTTATTAAACATCTCTCGGCTACCAAAAAAATAACCCAAAAAAACTAGAGTCAAAAGTTTTGATATGCCATGTTACAAGAAAATAGGTCTTTTGAGAGTGGCAATTTCATATAGAGTAACTATTTCTCAAGTTTCATGTACAAAGCTAAAGCAAACCCCGACTGGAGGTGGGTCATGGGGGTAAGACATATTGGACTTTTATCTTAAAAGGTAGAACAGTTGTTTCCGTAAGCCCTCGCAAATGCAATGTATGTTATAAGGGAGAAAGTATGCTAAAAATGAAAATCTAGATAAGAGTGAACAATAAAAACAAGTATGCTAATAGTGATAATAAAGAATAACAACAATTTTTTTTTTATTGAATTCTCATATCAGATAGACACGGATCATCAAACAAATATATATATATATATATATACTTGGGATCATGTGAGACCAGCCTGTTTTCGTGAGACCCGTGAGACCAGTATTTTACACGTAAACTTCACAGCAAAAATGCTGTGAAGGTGACTTTTTAAAACCTTCACAGTGTTTTTGCTGTGAAAGTTCGACTTTTTTTAAACCTTCACAGTGTTTTTGCTGTGAAGTTTACGTGTAAAATGCTGGTCTCACGAAAATAGGCTGGTCTCACGTGAACCCAACCCTATATATATATATATATATAGAGAGAGAGAGAGAGAGAGAGGAGTGATCATATGAAAACCGTCTTCATATGTGTAAACCGTGCAAACTACCTTCATCTGTCGATTTCATTGTTTAATCTTATGAAATTTTTTCATGAAATTGTTTAATCTTGTAAAATTGTTTCATATAATAGTTTTTTTGATGAAGTTGTTTCATATATGGTTGTGAAATTGTTTCATATAATACTTTTTTTGATGAAGTTGTTTCATGTATTTCTCTAACATTAATGAAACTGTTTCATGTATTTCTCTAAAATTAAAATAATGAAGATGATAATATCTATGATTAACACTTCTCACAATAAAAATGATTAATCAACCTCTCATAATTACAAAAAAATGAACAAAATGAAAAATTATGATTGGTTGAATACTGTTTGCACGGTTTGTACAAATTGAGTGGTTTGCATTTGATCGCTCCCATATATATATATATATATATATATATATATCCTTTTTCCTAAAAGGATTTTAGAGAGAGATTCAGAAAGAAATTCCACAAATTTTCATATGTTCAGTATTTTGAGTAAAATATGGATAAAATTGACTTGTAAGAACAACTTCAATAACTATGTTACTTTTAAAAAATTGGAGATTTGGGAAAATTTTGTTCCAACAGCTTTGTTAAACTCCCTCTATAATAGAGAAAAAAGTAAAGAGAATTGAGAAATCTTCAAATTTAGAATAAAAGAGAAAGTATAGCATACCTGTTGAAGATGCTTTAAATTCCTCTATTTATTGGTTATCAGTAGCATAAAAAAGCTAAATTAGGCGTCAGATCACTAACTCTATGGATTGTATTAAAAATCCAAAGGCATAATAGACTTGTAGTTAAGGCCATATTATATGTAACTCACGTTAATCATGTATTCCACTCAAATAGAAAAACATAAAACCAAACCACTCTTATTGACCAAGAGGGGACAACCTCCCGTTTCTTTTCTTTTTCCCAAAACTGAAAACACATTGATTTAGATCTAAGAAACCAAATGAACCTAATAAAACCTATATAGAATATAAGGTTTGAAAAGGGTATGACTCTGTAGGTGAAATTGATTTGCATCTAAAAGGTGGTCACAGTTGATGGGACATTCCTCCTTTTAATATTAGAACATAGTCCTGTATGCCTTATTGGATTGCAGTTCTCTGTCTTGAAGGAATCCTATGAATATATGAGAAAATCTATGGATCCTTATACATTGCTAAATGTATTACTATTTACTTCTTTTTTCACATACGTCAACATCAAAACTTACTTTTACATTTTTAATATATGATTTGACTTGATTTTGACATTAAAATGATGTGTATAACATCACATTTTCATGAGATAAGAATATTTTACAAAACATCAATTAAATAGAAATAGATTGGTGAGAAATTTATCCTCATAAAGTAATGGACAATCAATTGAATTCTTTTAGAAAAAGCAAGAATTCCATCATTTCATTATGAAAAAAGAAGCATTTTTTGGTCAAATGTCCACCTTGACTCATGAGAATTCATTGACATAATAACACCAAGTGAAAAACCATCCTGTCAAAAAGAATTTTGAAGCCATCTATCTCATCAATTACAAGATAAATCAAGAGTAGATGGGACCCTCAAACTTGATATCTAATTAATACTGTCAAAAGCCAATGATTATCCGATATCGTATTTTAACTCATAGTATTTTTCTCTTTATATACAACAAATACCCATGCATAATCCTCACATATGATCAATTAAAACCCCTTAGGCTTTGCCAGTAAATAAGTGTACAATTCGACCAATGATCCATTGATCGACATACTATTTACTGGTGTGAAAGAAGAGAGAGGTTTTGTTCCATAACTTGAAACTTGATGACTATTGGCAAGACATGTTTTTGATTGTTGTCATCTTGACCATCACAAAATGACAAACCACAGAAATGTAAAAAAGTTGGAGAAGGAGACCATTCTCCGACAGCATTTTGGTAAAAAAGCATACCAAGAAAACAAAATATTTTAAACTTGGACCCACTAAAGAAATAGTAATGAACAATGAGTAACAATTTTTGGAGTTTTTCTCATAAAAGATTGGAGTGCTATTAATTTTCCTAATGGGACCTTCCTCATGATGATGCTTTCAGTACTATTCGGACAGTTTTAAGGATCTTATACCAATTTGCTTTCAAACCATATTAAACTTCCATCAAAATTGCACATCTAACACAAAGAGGTTTTTACCTACTTAAAAAAAGCATCATATTCTTACTTTCCAAGTAAACTTTTTGCATTTCGTAAGGATATCTACCTTCTTACTGGTTAAACACCAAGATCCATGATACATATAGAGTTTGTATGTGAATCTTGTTCATACCAGATATAAGTATACGTAAGTAAAGAATATGAATAACAACCCTTTTAAAAATTATATAAAATAAAATATTGTAATTATTATAATAATGGGTATATATTTTGTTAAATCAAGCAGGGGTTTCTTGGAATAGGAGCTAAAATAGACTTTGATGACTTTCTCTTATAATTACAAAAGACTTTTTTTGCATGGTGTGGACAATTTCAAAGAAAATAATGATTTTGATGATTGTGTCACCTACCAAAGAAACCATTACATGTCATGTTAAATTACAAATTCTAAACAAAATTCAAATTCAAGATTCATTGTCTTTTCAGCAAGCAATCCATTACATTTTTAACAAAACAAAACCTTGGCCATGCCAAAAAAGTATAAAAATGCCTTCTTTTGTAAAAGTAATTGATATATTTGGAAAACCAATTTATTTTTAATTTAATAATTCGAAATTTAATGAATAAAATTCTACTCAGGATATTTAAAATCTTGTTTATGGTGTATAAAATTACCTCATCCCCTATATAAATCCCCAAATGGGTTTAATTCTAGTAGCATTGGTTGGTTCACATTAAAAATTGCAGTGCATAACTTTTAATTTGGTAGGAACTCAAGTAGTCTTCCATCTACCTTATGACTCAATAGTTGCTTCTCATAATGAGGAACTATCACTATAGACAAACTTGAGTATCAACCTCTCTCTAATCACATCTAATTTGAAATAGTAACAATAACACCATTAATCCTCGGAATCTATCTATAATCAAGATCACTCATGCCCATATGTAACTCGGGTTTGTTTTCGGTTCTTGAAAATAGATAAAATATTGAGTACTAAGATCATCTCCTATCACAGTAAAAAAAACACTGGATTGGTGGGTCCAGTAACACCAAAAAATCAATCCATCTCTGACCAGAGTGCATTTGAACAGGAACACGACATATATACCGTTTATCTCCCCTCTCCATCAAAATGTCATTCTTTTTTGCCTTGCGATTGGAGTTTCCTGACCGGCAAAACGACATTTACCCATAGGGTTGGAAATACCCTAACGGGTGAATAGGGTTTTTTGTGGGCCCAATAACACAAAATATATATCCATCTCCAACCAAACGGTATATATGTCATTTGAACATGAACACACCCTATATGCTGTTTCACTCCCATCTCCGGCAAAAAACGCCCTTCTTTATGCCTGCCGGTTGGAGTTTTCGAGCCGGGAAAATGGCGTTTTTACCACACGGTTGGAAACGCCCTAACGGGTGAATTGGGTCTTTTGTTTCGTGATAGTGAAAACAGTTGAACACTTGGTTAAATTGGTTTCTTCCTAAATGACCAATCAATATGTTTATGAAAACAGAACAATCTACAAAAGATAGTTAAATGTTTGAGTATTGATCAACAAAACGATGTATTCGATTTCGGGCAAAGGTTTTCATAAATGGTTGGATTCATTTTGAAGATTCAAACATTCCTGTTTTTGAATTCGATTTGATATGGTGTTTAAAATTAATAAACATATAATGTGGACAGAACAATTTCTATGGCATAAGAATGAATCAATGGTGTGAACAGAATCGAATAGAAGTGCAGCAGAAGAAACACACAGTCAAAAAGGAGGAGCAATTAGAATCATCAATGGAAGAGTATGATGAATTACCTGAACCTGATTCGCTTAAGATCGTTACCGCCACGTGGCAGGGAGACAAAAGTGATGAGCACGCCAGGTTCCACCTGAGCAACCCACTCTTTCGGTTCATTTTCCTCCTCCAACACGATCGGGTCGGGTCTCCGACCACTTGCTGAAGCGGACAACGTCCCCACCGACACGTCTCCTCCTCCGCCACTCCCCATCGATATCCCCTTCAACCTCGCCTCCATTTCCTTCCCCCATACCCTACCGGAACTCGAATTTTTGCTCCCGTTCCGCCGGTACGACCACCGGAATCGCTCCGACACAGACGTCGACAAGTCCGATTCTACATCGTTGCTCTTTTGTAACTGCTGTTGTGGAGTCATCATCATCGTCGCTCCTGTACAAGGATTGCAACTCCGGTAGGCTGAGCCAGACGCTTTAAGCGCCATATCCTTGATCTGTAACACAAATTCAATCAACAACAGAGCATTTCATAATCATTTTAAGTAAAAATCCATAACCAATCAATGCACCATATGAATTGTTCCGCGAAGTTCAAACACGATCTAATCCAATTACAAGTACTCACCTGGGATGTCAATGTCTTGATGGCTTGTTTGTTGGCAGGAGTACTGCCGCCATTAACTCGATTTGATTCATCAGTCTCATCAGGTTGCTTGGAACGAGCAATGCATGTTAGCATCTTGTGAAGTAAAATTGATTACGAAATTCCAAGGGAATTGATTGATTATGAAGAGAGAAAAGAAGAGAAGGTTTGATAGAGAGTAAAGAAGGGCAAATAATCATGTGTTGGTGCTCAGGGTCTTTTATTACGTCCCCCATTTCCGCCATTGAAGAGATTCTCTGTCCATTTGAGTTTATTTTTAAATAGAAAAATTTTAATTCAATAATTAATTACAAAATACTAATTTTGTTCTAAATTTTCATTTGTTTCATATGAGTTTTGAAAATTACCAAAAAAAAATCAAATTTATCGTAAATTACAAATTTGGTCCTCGTGGTTTGATGAAAAATGCATTTTTTGTCCCTACAATTTCAGAATTACAATATGGTTATCTTGGTTTGTAAAAATATCCGTATTTGGTCCCTCTCTCTAACCGCCATTACAAAAATTCCGATACATGAGGGACATTTTTGTTATTTTATCCATTTTTATCTTTTAACCAATCAAAATCGATTTATATGATTTGGGCCTTGTTGATTTTGATCGAGTAAATTAAAAAGACGAAAATACCTCTTACTTAATGGAATTTTTTTATAAGCATTAAATAGAAGTATCAAATTTGGATATTTTTGTAAACCATAATGACCATTTTGTAATATTAAAACTGTAGAGATGAAAAGTGTTATTTTTGACGAATCACAGGGATCAAATTTATAGTTTACTCTACTTTTTTGTGATTTCTGAACTTTAATAATATAAAATTAAAATATTAGATGAAAATTGGTTATATTTTTATTATCTAATATTATTAATCACTTGTTTGTGTGATAAATGTTACTAAGAACATCCACACCGTATCGTAATATCACTTTCACTTTTAATTGCATTTCAGTGTAGGTAAATTGCATGTGTATAGATGGTAATTACAAAAGTTGACATGACATAATTGAAAATATAAATGAATTACAGTGATATGGATGATCTAACTTGTATGTAATATTGATTTTTAATACATAATTTAATAAAATACTTCATTATGATATAATAAAACAAAGACAAAACAAGCGTTTAGAAAATAAATGTCTTTTAAGTTTACAAAAATTGCATGCTTAATCGTTAAGCCTTTGTTAAAGGAGTATAAGATTACATCTTAAATAAACACATATTTTTCTGTGCAGCTGTTATATAATTCAAGCTACTGATAACAGGTAAGTAGAGAGACTGTTTCCATTAATACCATAAACTTGTGAAAAATATATATGAAGAAAAATTATAGAAATAAAAATTTGTTAAAATGGTTTTGTAAGCTAGAAGTGTTTGTAAAGAATTGAAGTGCATGAAACTGGAAAAAGTATAACGAGAACAGGAGTATGGGAAAATCTTCTTTAGATGTCATCAGTTCGAATATTGAAAGTCTGGAATGCCACTGGTATTTTCATGATTGTTCTCCAGTATCCATGGGATTAGTCGAAGCGCGCACAAGATGTCTCGAAAACCCACGATTGAATAAAAATAAAAATAAAAACGCAAGCAGTCAACAGTGGTAGGAAATGTTAACATAAGTAAGCATGTATGTAAGGGGGGAAAAGTAAAGCAGATAGTAAAGTTCCAAAGTACCAAACCAGTTGAAATAAAAGTACAAAATGACTCTCTTACTCCAACCATGTAAGAACGTTGACATATTAGCTGTCGACTTTCCACGCTCGTTTAGAATACCTCATAATTCCTATAAACGTATGCTTCCTTCGTCTTGCATCTTTAATAAAGAACCTCATGGGATTAGCTTAATCGACAACAAACTTTAAGCCTTTGCCCTCTGAGGATCCTTCTCAAAGCTCACCAGTTTAAGTCTTGCAAAACCACTGAAAATTTTCCTGATTGTTTTCAAAGATCTCGAAAATTAGTGAAGATACACGTAAGTTATCAGGGACACCCAGATTAAAAAAAAACCTGTATTTTTTGTATCTAATTATATGATTAATTAAAAAATATATTTGAGTATCTTATTGAATAAAATGTGAAACCATAGTGACCATTTTATAACATTGCATATGTATACCAAAATCAATACCATTTATGTAATGTAATGTAACAATATCTTCATATTAATTAAGGGGTTGTTTATCAAACGCTTACTTAGGTAAGTGAACATCAAGTTATATTACCTTACCGGATGAATATGGTAAGGACAAAAAATCTTACCTGGTAAGAGCGAGACAAAGACCAAAAGTCTTACCCGGTAATTAAGTGAGGTCGACGACTTTTACTATGGTAAGCGCTTACCAAGTAAATTGTTGCGTATGATACCGTTTAAGTGGACTAAAATCTTACCCGGTAAGTAAATGATAGTGTTAGATTTACCGGTAAACGCTTACTGGGTAAGTGTTTGGTAAACGATCCCTAAGTAATTCTCCTTTTCTTTAAAAAAAATATAATTTGGTCCAGGAGGTATGTGAGTCTCTAGCTTTTTAGGAGGTCAGAGGTTCAAACTTCACCAAAGGTGAACAGTGTATATGAGTTTATTTGTTATATCTGTCGTATATAAATATTATATACTTAAAAAAAGATAATTTGTCACATAAACTCAATATTTGACAAAATATCGTGTTTCGTCCATGTAGTTTTGAAATTATAAGACGACCATCATGGTCTGTAAAAACGTCCGGATTTAGTATCTACCTCTAATGGCCGTTATAAAATTCCATTAAATAAGGGGCATTTTTATTATTTATCGATTTTTTTATTTGTTACCCAATTAGAATCAATTTTATGATTTTAGTCTATGTGGTTTATGATTGAGTAAGATACAAAAAAAATCAACAAAAAAACAAAAACAAATCTTATTTAACAGAAATTTTTAACGATTGTTAAAAGGACTGACTAAATTCAGACGTTTTTATAAACCATGATAGCCATCTTATGATTTTAAAACTGTAAAGATGAAAAGTGTTACTTTCGACAACCAAATTGGAGTAGTTGACTCTAACCAAAATTTTGGATTTGGTTTTTATGATATCAACATTTTTTTGTTATGACTAGAAGGATACTTGCGCAATGTTGCGAGATAAATCTCGATTTTAATATTTAGTTTTATTTTTTGTCTCTATGATATAATATGATTTTATGTGGTTTTGAGAATGCGGTAATGTTTTTTTTTTTTTTTGAATGAAATATAAATTTGAAATAATATATAAATTTGAAATAAATAAATAAATCGATATTAGTATCAAATTAACTATTTAATAGTTTAATTCAATTTTTAGTTATAATTTAATTTAAATTTAATAACAATGTACTTTATTTTTGGTTTAATAATATATTTTTTTATAAAGATAATAATTAAAATATTTTATTAGAACTCAATAATTATCTTAATTTTATTGTAGATTTTCTATATCTAAAATGAATGTTTATCTTGTATTTGATTATGTTCATCTGCAGTTAGTCAAAAATTTAAAGTTGTACTTTTAATAAGTTGTATTTAGGCAAAGTTACTTGTAATCTTGAACTTTAAGCAATATACGTCAATAAACAGTACTTTTATGTATAAAAATGGTTTTTAAAAGTTTTTATCAAATACTTTATAATATAACTAGAAGCGTACTCGCGCAATGCAGCGACATACATCGTGATTTTAATATTTCATTTTATTCTTTATCTCAGTCGATGTTATAATATGACTTTATGTGATTTTGAGAAAGTGATGATGTTTTTATTTTTGAATAAAATATATGTTTGAAGATATCATAAAAAATTGACAAAAATATATCGATATTAGTATCAAATTAACAATTTGAAATTCACCATTTTTTGTGTAATTTTTTTTATTCAATTTTATTATAATTTAATTTATGTACAATAACGAAGTAATTTATATTTGGTTTAATAATATAATTTTTTTATAAAGCTAATAATTAATTATTTTGTTGGAACTCGATAATTATCCTAATTATATTTT